TCTGTGGGCATACCTTGCATCGAGATTTTCCGCAGGGATGGCACCCTGATTGAATTTTGGGGGTGTTTGTTTTTGCCCTGACAAGAATGTCCTTCAGATTTTTATCCCGGCGGTACACCACGTGAGGTGGCTTCGCGAAAATAGAAGTTAGTCGTTCGCTTTGCCTGATTATGTTGAAATGGCGGGAAAGTATGTTGTTGATTCGTGGCGCTGATGAGGAGTAAGTTAGTACAAGGTTCGTTTGGGAAGTCGTTTTAGGTACTTTGTTTGGTCCCTTAATTATATCATTCCTGTTCAGGTGTCGAGCACGTAGTATGGCATCGTCAATAATGTCTTCCGGATAATTTTGTTTCAATAAGGAATGCTTTAGGTGTTCCGCGTGTCTGTCAAATTCCCGCATATCGGTGCATATTCTTCGGTACCGGTAGGCCTGAGAATATGGAATACCCGTTTTGCAATGCTTTGGGTGGCTGCTGTTGAAATGTAGGTACATTTGACGGTCTGTAGGCTTTTTGTAAAGGTTTGTTGACAAGCGGTCATTTTCGACCGTGACAGTAACGTCCAAAAAGTTAATGCTAGTTTTGGAAATTTTGTGCGTGAATTTTATTGACGGGTGGCATTTGTTAAAATCCTCTATGAAGCGGAAAAGACTTCCCTCATCATGGTTCCATATCATAAAAATATCGTCTAAGTATCTTCTGTAGTAGAAAGGTTTCAAGGTGCGTCCCTCAATGAATGGGATTTCAAGTGAAGCCATAAAGGTGCTCGCGAAGTTTGGGGCCATTTTCGTGCCCATTGCAGTGCCACTGACCTGAAGGAAATGCTTGCCGTTGAACTCAAAATGGTTATAATTTAGTACAAGTTCAAGAAGTGTAAACAGTACCTCGCCACTTACACTAGTTGATGAGTCAGATTTTACATATTCAGTGTTGTGTTTGACAGATTGAGTACATTTTCCTCATAAGTTTTCGGCTGCTCTTGGCTATCACGTGGCACGGGAGTATGACGTGGCACGGGAGTATCACGTGGCACGGGAGTATGACGGGAGTATTCACGTGGCACGGGAATATGACGCTGACACTCCCGTGCCACGTGATAGCCAAGAGCAGCCGAAAACTTATGAGGAAAATGTACTCAATCTGTCAAACACAACACTCACACCCGCTCAGCTTCAACTTTTGTCGAGAGGCTTGACCTTTTGTCCATCATCCGGTAAATTCAATGAATTTGAACTGTACCAAGACCTCGATAACTTTGCGCGTAATCTCCGCCTCCGTGAATACTTTCATGATCGCAAGGACTGTACGAACGAGAATAGAGTGATTGGTGGTGACAGATCATGGTGTCCGGGTGAGCAGAGGGACAAACACCTCGATATGTATATATCAGCAGTTCAAAAAGATATCATCAGAGCGTATGGAAAAAATCGGCCATTTCGAAACAACATATCAAAGTCAGAACGAAGGGCACTCGATGAACTACGAAAAAACACTGGAATTACTATCAAACCGGCTGATAAAGGAGGCTGCATAGTAATTCTAAATACGTCGGACTACTTAAAGGAAGGGGAACGACAGCTATCAGACACAAATTTCTACAAAGAACTTCCAACGGACCCGACTCCCGAATTTGAAAGGGAGATAAAAGTAACCCTAAACAATCTCCGCCGGGACGAGAAAATTACCGGCAAAATGTTAAAAGCAATGTTACCGGCCCACTCTGTTCCCGGTCGATTCTATTTACTCCCCAAAATACACAAGGCAGGTAATCCGGGACGTCCGATAGTATCCAGTAACAGCACATCAACAGAAAATATATCAGAATTCATCAATTCCTTAATAAAAAACATCCCCCCAAATTTTCCCTATTACCTAAAGGACACAAACCACTTCATCTGCGAAACTTCAAGTCTCGACATCCCAGGCGGCAGTTTTCTGGTGACCATGGACGTCTGCTCACTGTACACCAACATACCCCACCATGACGGAATAGCGGCTATGGTTTCTGAATATGTAAAATCTGACTCATCAACTAGTGTAAGTGGCGAGGTACTGTTTACACTTCTTGAACTTGTACTAAATTATAACCATTTTGAGTTCAACGGCAAGCATTTCCTTCAGGTCAGTGGCACTGCAATGGGCACGAAAATGGCCCCAAACTTCGCGAGCACCTTTATGGCTTCACTTGAAATCCCATTCATTGAGGGACGCACCTTGAAACCTTTCTACTACAGAAGATACTTAGACGATATTTTTATGATATGGAACCATGATGAGGGAAGTCTTTTCCGCTTCATAGAGGATTTTAACAAATGCCACCCGTCAATAAAATTCATGCACAAAATTTCCAAAACTAGCATTAACTTTTTGGACGTTACTGTCACGGTCGAAAATGACCGCTTGTCAACAAACCTTTACAAAAAGCCTACAGACCGTCAAATGTACCTACATTTCAACAGCAGCCACCCAAAGCATTGCAAAACGGGTATTCCATATTCTCAGGCCTACCGGTACCGAAGAATATGCACCGATATGCGGGAATTTGACAGACACGCGGAACACCTAAAGCATTCCTTATTGAAACAAAATTATCCGGAAGACATTATTGACGATGCCATACTACGTGCTCGACACCTGAACAGGAATGATATAATTAAGGGACCAAACAAAGTACCTAAAACGACTTCCCAAACGAACCTTGTACTAACTTACTCCTCATCAGCGCCACGAATCAACAACATACTTTCCCGCCATTTCAACATAATCAGGCAAAGCGAACGACTAACTTCTATTTTCGCGAAGCCACCTCACGTGGTGTACCGCCGGGATAAAAATCTGAAGGACATTCTTGTCAGGGCAAAAACAAACACCCCCAAAATTCAATCAGGGTGCCATCCCTGCGGAAAATCTCGATGCAAGGTATGCCCACAGATGCTCACAACACGTGAATCCAAAGCGAACTTCTCGGATTTCAAATTCTGCATAACTGAAAGCCTTAATTGTGACTCCAGTAACGTAATATACATGCTACATTGCAACATCTGCGGACAAGAATATATCGGCCAAACAGACACGCCATTTCGGCTGCGGTTCAATAATCACCGGTACCACGCCACTTCACTGCCGAAGCTACCTTTATCTAGACATCTGCGCCTGCCAAACCACAGTTTTAAAAATATTAGCGTAACTCTTTTGCAGTCCGGTTTTTCAAACAGACGCGAGCGCGAACAGCGTGAGGCATATTTTATTTTCAAATTTCGTACATTAGTAGCCGGTATCAATGAGGACCCCGGAAAACTCAACTGCCTCCGAGAAGTAAGCCAGGAGAAAATTGGTGACAAAGATTGATAGCTGGAGACCATGCTTTTTTCTGACTGACTCGTACGTGTACACTGTCCTCTTCTTCCTCTTCTTCTTCTTTTTTTTTTTTTTTTTTCACATGCACATACAAAGTGTTTACGTTCGCCTACCACTTCATGACCGTTGAAGGGAAACGGACGAAGATTAAAGGTAAATAGCCGACCGACCCATTAACGAGAAACCTTTCCTTTACACACACCGCCCGCCGCCCGCCGAACGACCAAACGACCAATTACGGGGAAACCCCTTTCTTTAGGCACGCCGTCCCGGACCCTCCCGGCACCGCGGCGACAATCTTGGGTGGCCCGACACAAGCCAAGAACTGAACAGCACGTGATATGAACCGTAGGTGGATGTAGACGGACAGTTGGCTTCGTTTTCAGTGTTGACAGTGGTTCTTCCTGTTTTTTACTTTTTTTACTTTCTTTCTTTTCTTTCTTTTTTCGTCTTTTTTCTCTCTTTTTTTTTTCCTTCTTCCAGTTCCCTCTCACTCTCGCAAACGTCTTTCGAGGCGAGAGGGACGCGGCAGCAAGGAAGTTCATGTCAGTATAACTCATCCCCTGATGAAGGGAGGTCCCCTCCCGAAACTGTTGGGAAATAAATATATTTATCCTTGTTGACAACGCTCCCGTTGTGCCATATCCCATACCTTCACGAAGACTAACTGGCCCATTGAATTATTACTCCCACTATATATATATATATATATATATATATATATATATATATATATATATATATAACCTTTTGGGGTAAGCTGGTCACTTGATTAGCATTAAATTCTTAGTAAACAGCACTGAATTTTTTTGTGTTTATGAGAAAGCAAAGAGAAAGCGAAAATTCTAATTTACAGTGATGCCTTTCGGTGCTCCAGAGCTGCTCCAAAACGCGCCTTTTGCTGCTCCAATACTTTATTATTCCTTCCCCCAAAGCTGCTCCGAAAGACTAAAGCCCACTTCCAACCCTGCAAACATTTACGATGCTGCATTCGCGGTACCTTGTGTTTGTCTACGTTGCTTGCTTGAGTTTTGTATTACAATATTGTATAAGGTTGCTTAGCGTGCCAAGTATTTGGTTGCTTGACCAAGTCGGTTGTGTCCATGTGTTCAGACAGTGTGGCTCATTGCAAGACCCCACAAACAGGCTATCGCAAAGCGTGCCAAACATCAAGGTGTGACGTGTGATATGCTGTCAGTGTTATCTGAAGCATGTGAATGTAATCCCTCGGTATGCTTTACGCCCTATATAAAGCAGCAAGATGGCAAGTTGGGCCAGCTGGATTATGTTCATAATTGAAAATTTTGTTGAAGTGCACTAAAAAACGGACGTAAAGAAGACGCTGACAAGGACAGCGCTTGCTGACAAGGAGCAAGCACTGTCCTTGTCAGCCTCTTCTGTCCGTCCGTTTTTTAGTGAACTTCAACAAAATTTTTAATTATGACCTATATAAATCGTTATATAAAGCAAAATCTAAGCATGCATTTGCGTAGGCACACTTAGTGTAACGAAAGCGTGCCTACGTAAAAGCATGTTAATGTAGAGTGCCCAACACCGGGTTCTCAGTGTGGTATGAAGCGTGCCAATATAGTGGGGTGGGTAAAAAGGTTGGGGTTTGAGTGCACTTAGGCAGAGAGCTCTCACTTTGGCAAGTTTCTGGCCTTTCTCCTCGTCAACGCCAATGCTGGTCGTGCAAAAGATTGGGACGACAACTTTGTCCAACGACTGCTTCAAGCCATCAGCGTTCTTCCGCACGCTGCAAAAGAGATCCAGGAGCATGACGTTTTTCCTGCGCACGCCACGGTCACAACCGAAAAAAAGAGAGAGAGGACTTTTGTTTTTTAAAGGTTTCTCGAGCAAAAGAGCGTGGCGGTAGAGGGCTCGCAAGAAATGAAGACAAATAAAAAGTTGGAATCCAGAGAAGTGGCTAATTTACCAGTGGTGCAAGACATCATTGATCAAGTACACAATGTGCAGTTTCATGTCGAAAGGAGCGCCCGGCACGGTGACCCTGAGGAAAAGAAGACAAGAAGCATTTAGAACGTAAGAGCAAGAAGACAGAGAACTCAACTAGATGTTTAAATGTTAACATGCAATGCACTTTACACAACAAAGTGCAAACTTGTGACATAAAAGGGATACCAATATGAAAGATAAAATAAGTTTCAATTGGTAAATTATTCTTCAAGAAATTTTCAATTTTTCCACCATATGTTTGTTATTAAAAGGGAAAACGTGTGATCAAAAGTTCAATCGTAAATTTTGTTCCATAAACCACAGCACTCGAATGTCAGCATAACATCATAAATTTCAATTCTTTTTTGTATTATATTATTCTGGCTGCATAAAATTTCCTCAGACTAGATTCATTAGGTCTTTATTGTCCTTGGAATATGACGTAGTTATTCAGCAATAAAGGGTTATATAGGCCGTAGTAGACATCGTCAAAACCTGACAATGTCGCAGAGAATAGTTTTGAGGAGGCATCGCCAAGTGCGTTTTCTTTTGGCGTGCTTTCTGGCCTACCAAGTATCATCTCGAGACAAGAGTGTTGCTACCAGTATTGTGAAAGCCCGATGTACTAACATGACAGAAATCATTTTTCTCTTTTTTAGCATCTTTTGAAGTTTGATGAGTTAAAAGTGAAGTCGTCTAGCGAACTAGCAGCGACAAGAGGTTATACAGGACAACAGAGAGATCGATTCCTGAATGATGCGTCGGGAAAGTGCGACACTGTCAAAGAAACAGAATGCAAGGTGTTCTTATCTTTGCTTACTTCTTGAGCAGATACTGGCTTATTAGCTCATTACGTTGCGGGGTGGTTGAGTGAGAAAAAATCCAGCCCTTTCCTGCCTGTAAAAATGAAGGACTCGTACTTTTGAGACAAAAAACATTTCCAAGGGAAATACTCTTCAAGAGAGCACATACAGAGCAAAATTCTCACTACAGAACAGTCAGGCAGTTTCCACACAGGAGAGAGTGTTCGTAATTTTCATGTGCAGTGTACATGAAATGCAGTACCACTGAATCATGTGCAGTACCACTGAATTCTGCATCTGACTCGCACGCATTAATTCAGACTTCCAGGTTAGTAAAGACTGCTGCTCGAGATACTGAAAGTTGGTTCCAAGTTGATGTGCTCAAAAAAAAATATATATATATATATATATAATAAGCAACCATAGTTAGACACATCACTGACTGTCAAGAGAGTGGCACTGTCTTATGTTAACAACTAATGTGGACTATCTGGAGCAGCTTCGATAAAGATTCAGAGCAGTCCGAGCATCAAATCAGCACATATCACACACCTTGCCAATGGCGCTTCTCTTTTTTCTTGCTTTAGCCATGGAAGCTAAGTGAGACTGAATTCTATGAAAGCCTTGGTTTGAAATAGGCAGCATTTAAGCGAGCCCTGCAACACTTCTACAAGCAATCATCAAATGGATTCATTGCCTCCCGAATCAACACGTGACAAAATTTTTCGAATTCATCAAGCGCGAATGAAGTTACAGGGATTCGTTGCATGCTCTATAAGCTCTCGTTTACCTCTCATACCACAGAGAACGCTGAAAGCTGCACAGGGAGGGGACGACAAGGGAAAAAGAAGCATGTTTGTCCGCATGAATTATGCCATGAGCGCTTCATTTTGCTTTTTTTTATTAATATTCGTGACTCATTTTGGGCTCGTGGCGCCATCTTGTGACGGCCGGGGTAACCGTGCAGCTCACCATGCTCAAATCAGTCAACAGCCACAGACTTTGTTTTTATGCCCTCATTTGTGCTGTGCTGTAATGTTTGGCTCACACTTTTTTCGGGAGCCTCGGCTACTAATCGACACTGCTTTCTGACCATGCTGAAAAGGTGTTAATAGCGTTGCAGGGTCCATTAAAGCAAATCTTAGATATACAGAGTGACCAGAGCATTCCAATGTATTCAAGTCTTGGACTCGCTATGAGTTGGCTGTAGTGCGTAACTGCTAAGACAACTGATGGGACATTAAAAACTAACATAGTATTTGTAGATTACAATGAAGGTAAAGCCTCGCAGACAGCTCGCAGTCACTGCTTTTTCAACGCTTTTGAAGAAGTGTATCGATAAGTTTTTCATCACGAAACTGTCAAATGAGAAACCGTGAACTCTTTTGAGGTAGACTGCAAGACGTTCATAAAATGGTACTGCGTGAAAGAACCTATAGTCACGTGTCGTGGTGTTTAACAAGTTAGCAAGTCAAAGCATGAGGAACTTTTCAGGACTTCAGATTAGTGAAAGCATGATGTGTGCAGTATAGTAAAACAGCTCGAAACAATGAAATCAACGTATCAGTTCTAGAGCAAAGAGGTAAAATTTCATAAGAAGCCACCAGCGAAATCAATAAGCATTGGGAAACATCTTCATGTCTTGCAGAACAGGATAAGCAGTAGACTTTGTACACAGCAGTTAAATGTGTAAAGCGACAAGAGCCTTGGAAATGTTCAAGTGTGCTTCACTTTCTTAATAGTAGTGCGATAATCAGAAGTAATGATGCCAACAGACAATACTGCTGGAAAAGAACATACATTAAGTTGTTAAATGTGGGAGCAGTACTCAGTGCAAAAGAAACACGTCAGACAATCTCTAAATGTTATACACAAGTTAGTACATGAGAAAGCGTTAAAGCTGAAGCATTCCAACCTTTTTTTTTAACGAACCATTACATCACAGTGCTAGGAAATGCCCAACGAATATGTGCTCACCGAAATGGAATCCTTGGTGCAAGACTCAATGATAGGCTGAAGGATCTTATCCAATTCTGCAATCTCTATGTCACAGCTCTTTGCCTGAGCCATCAGCTTGTCATCTTGGGCCTTTCGTATGGCCTCGTCTAACTGCACCTGGAATGCAGAATGATAAGATTAGACACAGGACATCAGATGAATTGGGAAGACTCTGCAGCGAAATTGAAAATTTTCAAGACACGATAATCGATCGGAGTGTTCTAGTACAGTGATGAGGTACTACCGAACACCAGTTTCAAACTAAATGATCACGCTTATTATTTCCACCAAAGTGCACAGCTTTCGATTAATTCCGACTTAACAGGACTTATCTCGCACCTGAATCAAAGTACAGGCACATACACTCCCTCAAATGAAACCCCCTTACCATGAGATTAACCCATGACAAAAACTGAGCCGTTAACCCATCACAATGAAATATACGGCATAGATCTATCTTTGTTGGAATACCAGAAAGCACAGACATAACCAGCAAAAATAGTAGCTTTTTTTTAAGGTCGCAGGTTCTGCCCGAGGCCTATGTACTGTGCAATGTCGGTGCATACTAAAGAACGCCAGATGGTCGAAATTTCCGGAGCCTTCCACTTATGGCATGCCTCAACCTAATCATGGCTTTGAAACGTAATTCCCCTCCCCCCCCCTTTTTTTTTTTTTTTTAATTTTAGCACCGAGTATGTAGTCCCCTTCAACTGAAGGACTGATGTGGCCCAATGAAAATACAATAAATAAAGTCTTGTTGAAAATCAGCTTCAAGGTTTTATCCACATCTTCATTTTCGACTCCTTCCATGCACCATTGCTCTATTGAGCTTCAAGTAGAGATTTGTACGCACTCTTACTAACACCGCATTAACACCGTTCCAGGAGATGCTGACATCACCCCCCCCCCTATCTCCAATAATTATTTCACCCCCTGCCCACTTACACCCAGGCTCTTATCCCCCCATCCCTACTTTCCGAGTTCTGGTAACAGCCTAAAAAATCAACATTCTGGTTAAGCCCTTGGCTTCAACAAGCCTCAACCAGGCTAAATTAGCCCTCTCCCGCTCACCTGTTGCTGTTGCAAAAGGACTTGGTGTTGTGCGGCCAAGTTGACCTCACTCTGTCGTATCTGCTCCTGAATCTCCTGCACCTGCTGCTGTAGCTGAGCAAGCGCCACGTTGGACGTTGCCTGCCATGGCATGGGAGCCGGCGGAGCGCTCGACAATCGTCGGCGGCACTTCCTCTTTCGGCTTCAATACTGCAGCAGGACAGTGACGACGAAAAAGAAGTTGGTCAACGACGACAATCAACACTGAAAATGCCGTATAGTTCCGCTCAAGTAGGTGGCTCTGCAGACGACAGTTTCAGAATCATGGGCGCCGCCATCTCAACTTTTCACCCAAATAATTTCACAGCTTTGCACGTTATGGCATCGTGTCAATAAGGTTGTGACACACGAAATGCATTCCTGAAGTGATTTTCACATGCACAAACATTCAAGCCCACTGTACAAATGTTCAATTGTTAGGAGATACAAAAGGACACTTACAGCAGGTCATCACTGCTGAATGTATCCATAAAAGAGTCCATAATTGGCAGTCACCACTGAAAACAACCTCAAGTTAATAATTTTTGGAACTTTACGTCCCAGAAACGACATGGTTACGAGGGACATCATAGTAGAAGGCTGTGGAAATTTCGAGCATGCGGTGTTTTCATGTAAATACATAGGATCCTAGTATTTCACCTCCATCGAAATGCAGCCACCACAGCTGGGATTCCATCCCACGACCTTCAGGTCAGAAATCAAGCACCACAATCACTAGACCACTGTGGCGGGTAAAGACCATAAATTGTCACCGCTAGACAATGAGAGGTGCACAATTACCAAAGTTGGACAGCATGAGGCTGCAATTGTACGTAAACTTTGCAAAAACACACTTGTAAGTTTTTAAAAGCCAGTGACGCCACCCTGGTACAATCGATAAAATAAATAGCGATTGTTAGACAAGTGCAAGAATGTGTGATCCAGGCAAAACACCTTTTTCATCCTTTAATTCAGCAATAGCTTGGAACATTGTGAACTTCTTTTTAGACTTGTTACTCAAAAACCAAGTAGTGAAAAAAGATTTGCTCGAGTTAGAACAGGCAGTATGGTCATGCAGAGATTCGAACGAAGATGTCAGGCAGAAAAAGACTCCCATGTGTGAATAACACGACCACATCGAATGTCAAAGCTGTCACTCACACGTAACCCAGCACAATAGTGTGGGGACGAAAATTGCGACAGGATCTTGAATTGTACCGAACAATCAGCGGACAAGCCCATATCAATAAAATAACTAAGAATGCTTGTGCTACACTTTCAGGTGTATGTCACAATAGTGCAAACAGATGGTGTACGTATCGCCTTCCCTATTGCTAGCCTGGCTTCGTTTCTCGGTTTATGCTAACGATGCCACGAGAAAACACAAAGTTCACGACGCCCTCAGGCTCCTAGATGGATGCATGTATTGCAACATGCACATGGAAAGCACGACCGTGGGTATTTGTGCCACCTCGTGGGTGACAGTAGCTCTCCCAAGCTAAAGCACCTCCAAGATGTGTGTACTCCGAAATGGCAAACGGTGCCATAAACGGAGCTCACCAATAGTATGCCACGGCATGTATGCGTGGTGGCTGAGAACCCACAACGCACTGCAGGCCCGAAGCGAGAAGTTGCAAAATCGAATATCCAATTCCTTCGAACCTAAAGTTTCCTTTCATAATTCATTTTCGTCTACCTCAAACTGGACAATGCTAGTTTTTCACTCCCAACCACTGACACGAACACCAGAATTTCTGTGAAATGAGCTCTTTAATGCTCTCACAGTGATACTCTAGTAATATTCACTAAAATACTGTGACGAGATTCGCAATACAAATAATTAAACCTGTTTAAACCACAGACAAGTCAGAGGGGACACAATTCCACAATAAACTAAAATTTTTCCAATCAAGTTAACTCTAAACCTTGAGTGTCACATCTCAAAACCCAGACGTAACAAGCTAGAAACAAAAGTCATTGAAATTATACCTACTTTAAAGCATGAGATTTAATAATGTTGGTTTTTCATAGATGCCATTTAATGCTCTGTCAATCTTATGTTTCAATACAAAACAATCAAGCAAATTGGAAGTATTGCCCACTTAAGAATGAGAAAAGAGAAATAACAGGTGTATCAACAATTCAACTACAAAATCTATGTTCTCTACAAAGCTGGGCAGCCAAATATATTAAAAAAAGGTAAAAAAATGTTGCCCTAAATTCAACCCAGAAACAAAAGTACATTTCAGTGCTAAGCAAAGCAGAATATGAGTTGACTGAAATGCTCAGGCCTACATGGTTGAAAATTCTCATCCGTCCCTCAAACATGCAGAATGTTGCACAGAAAAATGTCTCAAGATGCTTACATGATTGTCCAAAAGACATCCTCAAATAGGTGAGGGCTACTAGCACACAAAAATCATAAGCTTGCAAGTGCACATTCACAAAGGAAAAAGAACTACAGCTTCTTCTTCTTCTTCTTTAGCCTATTCATTCCACCAAGTACTTCTTCTTCTTCTTTTGTATTTCACAATGTGGATTTCACTTGCAAACAGAAAAATGTCTTGTAGACTGCTCATCCTATCAATGATTGCAATATAACACCGAAACTCTTTATTTTTATAAACATGCTCAGGTGGTTTGACAATTATGTAACGAAATATCACTTAAATGACTAGCTTTTATAAAAAAAAGGCCTCTTCCATTATGAGCAAGTTCGTCATAAAGTTACAAAGAAAAGATAAACTTTACTAATCAGTAAGACCCAAGCACACGTGCGTGCTTATTTACCAAAAATGTGCAGATGCCTTTTTAAAACTGTTTAAAGCCACATAGCCGGTAAGTAGTCCTCAAGTACAGCTTACCCGACGCGAGAACAATAACTGGATGCACAATGACAGTAATTAGAGCAGTGATTTATATTATTTTTCATTATGAAACCTTGGAATGTTATTTTTAACATGCATAGACCAATAGATAAGCCCGAAATGCCATTAATTAAAAACTTGTTTGACAGGCTGTGCTTTTCTCCCACACATCAAGCTAAAGGTGCCCAGCAAGCCAGGCTAGCAAACAGCACAGAGAAGGTTAAGATGACAAACGAAGCAATAGCAGCAAGGAACAGTTGGCCAGAACGTTTCGTTATGACTTTATTAAAGTACACTCAAGTGATGCACACATTTCCGAAATTCGAGGAGATGCATACACCGTAATAGCTGTTTTCAGACACTGCAACTACTGCTTTGTAACAGTCCTCGCGGAATGAAATGTGATCAATTTTGGGCTAAGGAATGCACATACTTTTGCTTCCACTACTTCGATTCACATCAATACCAATGTAACTTTGACTATAACATTCAGATCCAAGCCAGCCTTATATTTAGCAGCCAGTTGTGTAGCAACATGATGTGATGATATCAAGCAATTGTGCATACCAATCATTACACTGAAAAGTTAGGTGTTGCAATCAGTGAAAACGAGTACACAGAACACAGCAGGATCCTCCTGTCAAGCCATACCTTTAATTTAGTTTCGTTTGCTCGAATCGAGAACTCTGAAGGTCGCAACGGCTGCTCCACTGGGAGAACAATGTTCAACTTGTGCAAGCAGTTCTTCGGCTCTCCCAATCCCACAGTACTCAACTGCATACCTCCCTTTTAGGCTGTTCCAAAAATTCATTAGAAAGCGAGTATTCAAAGTCCTTGATCTGAAGTTGGATGTAAGCAGGGCTATGAAAGATGCTTAAGCGAATCAGTTTCACCGGCATTTTGTGAGAACCGATATCCAATTGGCTCATGCCATCCCACTATTACAAACAACGAAGAATGTCTGTAATGTCATTTTTCGAACAACACAAGTTGCTACTGAAATTCTGGACGCAGCATCGGACATACTAGTTTAATACATTATACTGTGAAAATTTTATTGTTTTTAACAAAACTACACTTGTGAGTGAAATTATAGGAAGCATAGAAGCTTGTGTCAATGTAGCTGTCAGTGTCACCAAGAGGTGAGCCATCTGCTGCTGAAAGCACTGCTCGGGTGACATTACTGCCAAGGTAGAGCTCTTGACAGCAGACAGCTCACCACAAGAAGGTGCAGACAACAATTTCGGCACGGACTACCGTGTCCCGTATATTTATGGTTGCAGGTGCTGTCTTATTCTCTGTGTTCCTACACATGGCTTGCGCCGACGTCCTCTCAGCCGCCGTGTTAGAGTGCCACCGACATGGGAAACCTTAATTTGCCGCGATCAGACATGGAGGATTCTGCTGTAAGTCCTCGTACACGCTACAGCAGCAATAGGATTGCTGCTCAAGTCACATTGCAGCACATAGTGCTTCTGCTACAAGTTCTTGCACACACACTAGCAGTGTTCTGTGGCACTGATACACTGATTTTGTTCCATAGCCATCACATCAGAGCATCGGAGGCTGCGTGTCTGCCGTCACATGCAAGGTATACCATAAAATCCAGAGCAAGCGCCCCTACCGGAGCTGTGCCCCCCTCCCCTACAAGGGAATTTCAAATATGCGCCACCTCCTCTACACCCACCATTTTTGCTGTTTCATTTATAGTTTTCATACACCCAACAATGAAGACTTAAAATAGTGAATGCATGCATATTTGAAAACGTATCGGAGAAGTGCAGGCACGAATTCTTATTTTTAGCAGCTCTTCCGCCACCATGTTGAACTTCAATTCATGACCAAGAAAGTCCTTTCGAATCTTGTCAGATTATCCTTCACCGTAATGGGGCACTTTCTCGGGATTTTAAAGTATGTTAACGAGCGTGCTTTCACAGCAATATTTTCTTAGGAGGTAGCTAATTTTTCCACAAGCATAAAACTGGTGCAGCTTATGCCTAATTGTTACATTTAAACTGAAAATTGCTGTTTTGACTGTTTGTTTGTAGGTTTTTCAGCAAACCAAATTTTTCCCAGCAAGCGGCTAGGCGGTCCAAAGTGGCCTTTTGGTTGAAGTGTTTCGAGCAATGTGTTCATTGGTTGAAGTGTTTCAAGAAATGTGTTCAATGAACACGTCATTAAGGTGAAAGCTAAAATGTACACATGTAGTGCAAGAGAAGGTTCGAGGCCACACACTTCGCATGGCCCGATGAAACAGGGAAACCTTGCAGACGACGTTGAACAAGTGCAAGAAACGAAAGGTCATTTCACTCACAATTCTGTTGCGCGGCAACCTGATGCTTGTAGTAGGCGTAGTATTCAGCCGCCGAACAGGAAGGAGAACTTTGGGGTTGTCTTTCTGTTTCTGCTTGGTCATCTGTTCAAACTCCGGGCCATTTCGGGCAACAAACTGGGCCAGTTTGTCAATTATGTTGCGCAGCTCTTGGTCTGCGAAACGAAACGTGGTCGGGGCGATCAGCACCGGTCGTGATAGAAGCGTTCCGCGAGACGGTGCAGGCAATCATCAGGCTACGCGGTATTTGCAAAACCTAGCAAAACCACACGGCGCGGCGACCAAGCTTCTGCGGTATTATACAATATAAACCAAAATTACTGGGGTTTAACGTCTCTAAACCACGATATGATCATGAGGTATGTCGCAGTGGAGGGCTCCGCAAATTTCGACTGCCTGGGGTTCTTTAACGTGCACCTAGATCTAAGTATGTACACGGGTTTCAAGCGTAATCGCCTACGTCGAAAATGCAGTCGTGCTCGATCCTGAGATTTCAGGGTAGACATCGTTGAACTGAAAAGGCTTCAACAGCGAACTAGCGAATCGACCGTAGCAAACTCGCCCGTTGCCGCGTAGCTGGTTCACGCCGGTAGTTACGATTGTAATTTGGGTAACGCTTAGGTCAGCCGCGCAACCACAACCGCTTGAGACACTTCAGCGCACAATGGGTATGAAGGCTTTATTAAACCGCAGCACAGTGATAAGCGGGTCGCTCAGAATCCCGCGACGGCGCGCGAAGTGGCTGCCAATGCCTGCGGTGTTTCATGCTACCGAAGTTCAGCGGATTAGACGGCGTAGTTCCCGGCACGCAATGAGATCGCAATGCGCGGTTGGATAGTGAGGAAGATTACCGGCCTACAGCATCAACGCGGACCCCAACGACACCCTCGATGAGGTTTTGTTTTCAACGAGCCGGACGTCATCAAGCGATCGGCGGCACACCGTGAGGACGAAACGTGCGACGCCAACGAGGGTGAAGCGCTTCGCGTTGCATCCGCCCGAAGTGCGCGGGTACGAGAGAAATGGCGCGTTCGTTAGCTTACCCGGAGGGGCAACAGGCATTTCCATGTTGATTGGCATCAAAGGGCACTACAACGCGAATATTTACAGCTTCCACCGATCACATCGCACAAACACACTCAACAACCCGCTATTCTAGTGCACTCTAAACCCGCAAATGCTGCGCTCCCGGGTGGCCACACGTTGTAGTCGTATTCCGCTAGATTTGGCAGCTCAGTCTAATAACGTTTAGCGGCCGCGAGAGTTACGTTCGAGAAGTTATCGCCTGTGGCGTAATTGTCAGTGAAATAAAATTCTGGTGATTTTACAGAGGGCTGTAGTTACGGCTACAGTTTGTGGTAACCACGACAAGCTGTATGTTGTAAACGTTAGTTTCTATCATCATCATCATCAACTGCTTGTTGATAATGATTTTTGTTTGTTTATATTGATCTACATATTTTGCTAAATACCTAATAGGTTGTTGGACATTACTGTTGATAAAACTGTGATGCGTTGACACGGCGAGTCTGGCGATGACACTACTGAGAAGGTTCACCATCTTGCATCGGGCGCAGTCGTGAAATCGTGTACTTGTGGCAGTGCTGGACTTTCAGGGCAAGAAAATAGCAGCCTTTTCTTCGACCTCGAGTGGAGAATTTTGTGTGGACCTAATTTACCTAACCTGCCACAATCAGGCGAAAGCAGAGTTTCGGGATCGTGCGCGCATAAAAACACATGCTGAGAACCATAGCAGAGAACTAAACCGTATTTTTTTCTTCTCTCAAGTGATCAACATTTGGCTCAAAGAAATTGTTTTTTGTGATCCCACCGGCATCCTCGTTGCCTGCACGGCAGCTGAGGGAAGGACTCGCACAATGAAGATGACATAACCAGCCGCTACGAGATGAAATGCGGTGGTGCCATCAGATGACGCAATGAAAACCTTATCATTGGCTAGGGTGTCACAGAGTGCCCGCCCGATACGAAAGGAATAGCGTCACTATCATCATTTTATAATGTAAATGCACGGCGCAACAATACTTTAGGCGAGCGAACTCCAGAACTATCTGCTGCCCAATAATGTTCTGCTTTGCAAGGAGCCCGAAAGATGGCGCTACAAGCTCTGCACTGCTAAGGTCCCTAGGATGAAGTTTTTTCATCTAGGGACCTTATGCACATACTTCCCTCCTCCCCCCTCCTCTTGGTGTAGGCAGGCCGATGACGTAGGAAAGCAGCAATCACTCATTTATTGTCGCCAAGACACCCTCGCCACACCGTCAACGTGAGTGCACTACCTTGAGGACAAAAGGTTACAGCAAATTTAAAGCAACCCCAGTGCATCAAGTTTAGCAATCATCGTTGTATCCAATAATTTGTTATACCAAGCTTTAGGTGTGCAATGATCAGGTAACTGCCTGCTTAAGGAAAATATCAATTGTGTGGCGCATCATTGGTTGGCCACGTATGAGCAGCAAGACTTGATATGATATATAGAAGGCAAAAGAGGGAAAGAACCCATAGGCATGCATACATGTTACAGGTCTCTTGCAGTAGCTTGATATTCAAGCATAAGCTTGCATGCCGATTATGCTTCACCTTTACGACTGGAGCGTGATGGTGTTATCAAACACTATTGCGCTTACTCATTTGCTTGCAATTTGCTTCTCGGTTACAGCTGCTAAGAGAGAGAGAAACAACTTTATTTTTTGTCCTTGCTTGGGTCAAGGGAGGCGGGTGTCGGGAGACTAGTCCCTACTGGAGCCAAGCTTTCTCGGCCGGTGGTCATACCTTGGGTCTTGGCAGTGTCTTCAGCCAGCTGGACTGCCCAAAGTTTGTCATGCTGCAAGGGAAGGAATGTCCGATTCATGGAGCAAGAAAGACAGGAGGGGAAACTCCGGCCCAGCGCGAGCATGCGTCGCGATAATGTCACCTTGGGAGAGGAGGTTGGCTAACTACTAGAGTTACTCCATATGCTACCTTTAAAGTATGCAGTATGGTGGCTAGAGCCATATATGCAGTAAGTAACTCTAGCGAACTACGTGCGCGCAGCGATCCTTGCGGCGACGCACAGAAGTATTCGTTTCCCGCCGCGGGAGGACAGTACGCGCCCACGCGGTCTCCGACGCACTCGAATGTCGTCTGCTAGATCTGCTTCTCACCGACTCCACTATGCTACTGGACGCAGCTATGCAAGTTTTTCGCCGGTGCGGTTTGCTAAAACAAAATAAAGTAAGCAGAACGTCTTAGTGCCAGCATTTTTTTAAAATTATATCGTTCGATCAGTTGCTTTGCGGACAACGAAAGAAATGAAGTGGCAGAATTAAAAAAAAAAAAACATTGATTGATATGTGGGGTTTAACGTTCAAAACCACCATATGATTATGAGAGACGCCGTAGTGGAGGGCCCCGGATATTTCGACCACCTGGGGTTCTTTAACGTGCCCCCAAATTTGAGCACACGGGCCTACAACATTTCCGCCTCCATCGGAAATGCAGCCGCCGCAGCCGGGATTCGAACCAGCCACCTGCAGGTCAGCAGCCGAGTACCTCAGTCACTAGACCACCGCGGCGGGGCAAATAAAAAAAAATACAGACGATCTGTAATCGTAGCTAGGCGCGTGCCTAAAATCACCCATTGTGTAGCTTGACAAGGGATATTTTGCACGTTCTTCGATATAACAGTGTCATACAGAACAACTGTGTGCGAAAGAAAGACAGGACATTGGTGAAGCACGTTTGAGCTGACGGCAATTGATTTGAACATAAGAGCAGAGACTTTCTCGAGCTGTGAATCAATTATGCATCAAAAAAAAAAAAGAAAAGAAAAAGTTTGACCTTTCAACGCTCCGTCTGACCAAGAACAGTAGGGAGAATGGGCGAGGGCTATATGAAGAGGAATAATTTTTGCAGCCGAACGGTCCGCAGGCGCTACACTACGCCAAGTTTAATTTTACAGACCCGCCGAAGATCTTGTGACTCGCTGAAGCAGTGCCTTCAATACTTGAGCGGAGGTTTTACTTATTACTCGTGCCCAGACATTAAGCCAAGAACTGGCCAGAATATCACTGAAATTACCGATAAAAGCAGCGCCAAACGAGCGAAGGTAGAGGATACCCGTCACGAGACAGAAGTCTTCGGCGAATATTTTTACCAACCTCCAAACTTTCCAGCTAAGCTACATCGCGAAAAAGGCGTATTTTTCAGTTTCACGTGATTGGTTGTTGCAGCTAGGCGTGAACGATTGGATTTAGGAAGTTCCAACATAAAACAAGCTTCGGAAGAGAGCAGACACACGAGAAAAATGTTTTTCTGTTTTTTTTTCGTTTCTATTTTTAATTTTTTTTCTTTAATATGAAAAGCTTATTGTAGGCCATGTTCCCACAATTAATGTTCCTACTCTCGCATGCGAAGGTGAAAGAGTGAAAATTAACCTTTTTAGTGCTTCTGGACAACTTCGCGAGACTATCGCGGTACGGTCTATCTCCCAATTAGGGCGATCTGGCTGGCTTAGCGAAAACTCGTCGTACCGATTCGCCGTCTCGCTTAGCGAGTGTATCTCAGCTGTACACTAATACATTGAGGGGCGAGAGTAAGCGTGCAAGCAGACGACAAGAGCTGGAACCACGCTTCTCGCTTCTGCTGCTCCGGCGCGGCAGTTCGGCTGCGCTTCTGTAGGTGGCGCTGTCACGACGTTTGCCGCCCAGGAGGTGACACAATCGCGGTGCGGAAAGGAGTCGAGTTTCCCCTCCTGTTTACTCTTCCTCCGCGGTCTGGGCACAACACCCAAAGTTGTCAACTCTCCCAGGGCTACTTAGTAAAAAAAAATTACAGCATATCCACAGAGTGAATGACGAGTGGGGCGAAGCATCCGTTCGTCCATCCGTCCGTGCATGCGTCCGATCGCGTTCGAGAAGGCAGACGGCGCTCGGGTAACACCGACGAGACGCGAGCCTAGAAAGCCGAGCGCAATCGTCTTCGACGCGCCCGCCGCTCAACACAATTGATAAATCCGATAGAAACTCCATGTTATTTCAAATGAGTGAACTGGGTTCACCAGCTAGTCTAATAGGTGAATCCATTTTGATATTTATTGTATCACCAATTCATTATGTCGTTTAGACCCATTCAAACCTAATAGGATGACCCATTAAACCCTTTGGAACTTTCCAATTGGTGTCCCAAAACACAATAGTAAACTTCTAATTGGTTACAATTGGAAATGTCCAATTGGTTTCAATGGGGTCCAATTGAAAATATTCCAAATGGTCTGGATGAATTTTTCTTTACTTGGACCTACTGCAAATACAGTTCTGAACTACCCGCTATGTAATGATTCAGCACCATTTTTCAAGTTCCGGTGAATCGGTATGCACATCAACATAGCGGCAAACTTTCCATGTGGCTGATAAAATTATGACCCATGCTCTGTAATGAATGAGCAGCATCAAACCGAGCACCCACTCGGGTTCCCAATTCCGATACGCTTATGCCACACAATATTGCACCAGTTGAGATTTTTTTAGTCGACAGAATGCAGATTTGAGGTCTTTTTTCTGAGCAGCTTAAGAAACTGGCGAGGCTCTACAGTACAATGTTCAACTGCCAAGCACAAGTGTGGGTTCAACTCCAGATTGAACCCACGTTTTTATATCTTTTATCATGAATGACGTTACTAATACTAATTAATCCCTTGGTTCTATCCCCAAAACCGATACCAACGCAGACCCTTCAGTTTCCGTGTAACAGGAGTTCTTAAGCACCGCTCATCAATGCATAAATTCCGCTGCAGCCAATGCAATCCAACAATGCTAAACCCATAATGCGACTAAGCTTCACTTAGTCACATTACAAGAGCTTCCTATTATCTTTAATGCCTCAAGTTCTAGAAGCTGTAACAGAATACTAAATTGGTATACCCTCAAACAGCAGACTACAAAACCGACTTCATTTGTCTGTTCTTGATAGTCTCAACTCGAAACTGTGCCGAGACAGACGAAAGACACAGGACACACCGTTTTCGCATTGGTCGAAAGATTTTTTTTTTATTTTTCACAATTCTCTGTCATTATATCAACACAAAGAAAAATCAAACAATAAACTTTGTACTTTTTTTTTTCATACCCACATGGGATGCGTGTACAGTTCTGAAGAAAGAGTTGTGATAACATGACAATTTTGATCCGGAAGCACAGAAACAGTTTTTTCTCCCGCTACATAAGAAAAGAAAAAAAAAATGGAGCCGAAAACAAAGAGAAAAAAAAATGCACAACACCACGTTTCCCTATCAATGTGACAGGACCGCAGTCTGCAATGACAATAGTACAGTGTACAGAGTGTGTGTACATATATGTATATATACGATTGGAAACGTGTACAAGCAGCAATGTTTACATTTTGTAAAACTGTGCAGCAAGATTTTCGCCTTATTACCATCATCTTGTGTATGTGTGTGCTTGTTTGAACATGTCACAATCTAGGAGAAACAAAACGGTATTCACTCACATGCTTGCAAGATCCTAGCGACATGCAACGAAAACCGATTTGTTTTATAACCACGCTTCAAATTTTGGCACTACAGCAGCATTCATTGCGATCGAAGTAATCGAAGAACATTTTCTTCAAAAGAAAAGAAAAAAAAAAAGGTTTTTTAAAGCTTATCACAGATACATGGACGACAATTTCCAGTAGTAACAGCAGTAGTTGACACGGACTGGACAAGGTTTTCAGAAGGAGTGGGGACAAGGAACAGCGTTCCAAGTTCTCTCTCAAGAACATGGAGAGAACTCGTGCGGATGCCAACGAAATATGGAATCATGTAAAAGAAAAAAAAAAGAAGAGAGAGAACGGGCACACTAGAAAATGGCGTTGGGTTCGAGGATAATAAAGCTCATTAAGGCATAAATCACGACAGCTGTTCCAGGCATCAGTTCCGACAAGAACAGACAAGAACATCTGGATGAACCTGTTTAGGAAAAAAGATTCCCAACACGAAGGCACCGCTTCTATAAACCTCGTAAGACTTGTAGAGCAAGGTAGACGACTTTGGAAGGGGTATTTTTCAACGTAATAATTACTGTGAGAGAAATAAAGAGGACTAATTTTGCTCCCCCTTCGAGAAGATATTTTGTAAATCTTTACAAAAAAATTAATATATAACTGGGAAAAGGAAAGAGATGACTGAGAATGATTTGTTATGACTCGAAGACTACCCATCCTCGGGAGAAAAAAAAAAAGAATGGAAGAAAAGGGTGACAATGAGCAATGGAACATGACGCACATGATCTTCCTTGAGCGATGGGCGCAATGCGTTATTCTTAAAGCCTTCTTTTCTTCCCATTTTATTTTGCAGGAAACTGAACAACTACATCATAAATAAACGGTAAAAAAGTACGAACAAAGACGTTCGGATCAAATTAAAAAAATAGAGTTCGGGAAGAAAAGCTCGGGAAGAAAAGCAGCAGTTCACGGCTTTCGGCTGACACGAGCGACTTGCGACGTGCACCACCACTAGAATAGACCGCCACACATCAAAGAGGCGTGTAGAAGACTAAGCAAGATAAATCGCACGCTGGAATTAGTCTGGCACGCCACTGTTCTACACAGGTACAACAGAATTGGCAGAAAAAGTGAGACAACGAGAAGAATAGAAACAAGGGCCAGCAAAAGAGCAAAGTATAACCGTAGCAAGAACCAACGATGCCTTCCAAAAAACCCACGGTTAGGCTACACAAGGGAAAAAAAAAAGCGCGGTCCATGAGAGACTGCATTGAGGCACACTATAGCGTTACATTATCACTTCTGACATCGAAGAAAATAAACTTTTTTGTTTTTTTTTTGTTTTTTTTTGTTTTCCTCTCAGGACAGCACTTGCAGGTTCCATCTATACAGGGAGGTTGTGACGAACCAACAGCGAACCCTGTTCAAACAGTCCTGTGCACTTTTTTTTTTTCTTTTTTAACAGAGGTAACCCTTCATCTGGCAGACAGTTAAGTGGTTATGCACACATTGCCATTTTTTTTATCTGAAAAACTAAAAAGATGGCTGGTTAAGTACACAGAAAAGCCTGCAAGTTTGCTGCATTGTCGCACACAACCTTCCCCACCTTCACTCCGCGTTTCACACAACCAGAAAACTCTAGAGTGAGACAGAGAGACTGTTTTGCGGTGGGTGGCAAAAGGAGGTGGGCAGCGAAAAATTAAGGGAGGATGGAGCCAGGCCAGAAGAAACTCTAGAAGCACTGCACACAACCTTTTTTCCTTTTCCCCAAAATTTGACCATGGAGCGGGTCGCTGATAGGGTGAAGCGGTCTCGATTCCGTACTCACCAGCCTCCCCCCCCCCTCCCTTCTCTGGTGATACTTTCACGAGACCCTTCCAGAAAACTAAAGCAGCTACTTTTTTCCGGGAGCCTTCTGCACTGCAGCTGAAGTTCCGAGCACCGACGCATTAAGCCCTCCGATGCGTAATGGCGAGCTGGCTTGACACCAAGGTTGACACTTCCGAAGGCAGTCTGTCACAGAAACGACAATGACGACTCGACGTGGGAACGGCACCGACTGATCTCGAAGGAAGAGAAAAATCCTCGGCTGTCGCAGCTTCTCGTTGAGGAGCAACAACACTTCGTCGTCACAACCGAGCCAGTTCACAGATCATTGTTCACATACAGTTTTGCGGTTGCTGACAACGCACAACTCGAGCACTCAAATGTCAGTTGCAGTCCAAACGAACCCTGGAAGAAGGCGCAGCTTTACACTGTCTCTTTAAAGAGGTTGAGGTAGGCAAAAAAACAAGGACGTGAAGTTCTTCACAGAGTCCGGGGCATGTTGGGATTACCCTCTGAAGGGTGCTTTTGGAGTGTACTCTCCTCTAAAAGGAAGTTTTGGGAACACCCTTTTAAACAGGAGTTTTTGAGGGACTTCTTTACAGTCCATGGCTCAAGGAGGGGCTAGAGTGGGGATAGCAAGTAAGACAGACTGGAGAAAAAAAGGCAACAGGAACAGGAAGAAAAGGCAGAAAAAAAAAGAGAGGGTAGAGGGAAAAAGCAAAAGTCAGCCAGAGAGAGAGATGGACTCGACTGAGCTGCGCAGGCTCAGAGAACGGCCAGCGCGACGGCGTTGGGCGAGCTTCGACTCCCCAGGAGGGGAGAGGCCAAAGCCGCCAGTTGGAGGAGATGGATCGGGGGTGTCCAGTGAACGGGGCGGGCCACAGCGCAGCTCCATGCTCCAAGCCATCTGGTGTTGGACCAGCCGCTTGACCGCATTGGCACTCTCAGCGAATGCGGCAAGGTCGCGAGCACTGTTGTTCCTGAAAACAGGCATAAAGAGCAGCAATAGAGAATGAATACAAGAGCAGAAATGAAAGAAGCCCGATATGCACAAACCTTAAATTGACACCTAACTGAAGGAAACCCTACTTTAAAATTTTTTCGAATCCGAGAGCATAGTGCTGATCATTTGTTACAAGTTTGCTTGTAAGTTTCAATGAAAAATTTTCGATAGTCGAAGGGTCAGCAATCAGTGCATTCACCAAACTCGCTTTGCATAGCCTTGTACTTTGCACTATCAAAGTGAATAGCCTCAACAGTAATGCATCACAAATAAGGGACCAAGTGAAGTAACAGCACTTATTGTGGTCTGCCATGTTATAAGCATCTCTATTCAATTTGAGGTAGAATCTGCTATTTCCACTCTTGTCAACAAAAGCAGTCTCGGCTAACGTTTCGAAATGCACAGTACCTCCAAAGCGTCAATTGCAACTCTGCCGGGTTCCCAATGACTGACCACATAGCGTTATTTTGAGAATGTTCTTCAACATTACAGCCAATTTATTCATTTGCTCTTCTGTCAATTCCAAACACTGGTTTCTTTCTCCGTGCAGCTCTACGCAGCAAATAATGCAAGAGTGGTCTGGTCACCGCGAGAGGTTCTGCTAACCTGCGAATGATCGAAGGGGTGTGCAGGGCAGTACTGGGCCCACCGTGGGCCACCCAGGGATGGGCGAGGACTTCCTCAGCCGTGTAGCGCTGGCTGGCATCCTTGACGAGGAGGTGCGAAATGAGGTCCTTGGCCTCGTCTGAAATGCTGGCCCAGTCACGGTCGGGGAAGTCATACCAGCCCTCCTGGATCGAGGTGAACAGCTGGTCCTGGCAAGCCTGGCAAAACTCTCCACGCTCCCAGCCGCAGCTGCTGCCACAGCGTCCATAAAACGGCGGGTAGCCGCACAGCAGGATGTAGATGATGACACCAAGGCTCCAGAGGTCACAGCGCTTGTCGTAAGTGTGCGCCTCGCCCACAAATGCCCCGACCACCTCGGGCGCCATGAACTCGGCCGAGCCGACAGGCGTTTGCAGCTCGGGCGTTGTGGGCGGCGTTGCCTCGTTGCCCGGCAGCAACACCACACCAGAACCCAAGTCGAGGTCGCAGATCTTTACGGGCCAGATCTGCACAGTCAAAGAAAGCAAAAAAAAAAATATGGGCTCATTGAGATTTTAAAGCCATGCCCCTCCATCGGCTGACAAATGGGCACTGAATGTTAGATCTACCGTTTATGGCAAGTAGCACAGCACTTCAAAAGGAGGAGGTTTGAAGTGTGGAGAAGCCCATGAAGATAAAATGTCGCTGAAGACAACGTTTGGGCAAGTGAGCTTGGGCGAAATTCTTTATAAGATTTTCATTTACGATAATAACAAGCGCACAGCTTTGCTACAGCAGGACATATGCAGCCAAATCTGAATGTACTAAATCTGAAGGGATTCCAAGTAGTTGGACATAGTAGTTTAACACGAGATACGTATGCCGTACGTAGCAGACTTCTCAGCAAGACTTCCCCTTCCACACTGGTATGCTTCACCCCATTACAATGCAGCCTTGCAGCAGTTTATTATTAATGCAAACACATCGGTGGGCACCAACAAGAGCATTGTTGCGCAAACTGTTCATGCTTTGGAGCATGCACCTCGTTCACCTTCCTACCATGGCCTGTAGTTCCCTTTGGAATTAAATGCCCCATTCGACTGTATCTGCCATCTCATGGATATCGGATGCTAGAAGTGACTGCAGTACCATTAGTAGCATGCCTTTCGATACAAACGAAGTCAAATGTTACAGCTACTCAATATACAGGAGAGCGATAGCTTCCATTAGCTACGGTTAAATTATATTCTTAGTTTGAATTTTCTTCATCAAGACACAGCCAGGAAATTAGTGCATCATTAACAGTGAAGCAGCCGTTGCAGCCTAAAGAGCATTCCCACCTGATCTGTGTCGAAGCACAGGATGTTTTCTGGTTTGAGGTCCCTGTGCGCAATGCCCTTGGAGTGCAGGAAGCGCAGAGCTTCGGCAATATCCCGCACCACACGGCTCGCCTCATGCTCGGTGAACTGCACTCGCTGTTCGATGTGTCGCAGCAGGGGACCCCCGCGCATCTTCTCAAAAACAAGGTAAAACCTGAAAGACAAATGTGCACCTTCTTCATTAAACATTTTTCTGGCAGACCATTAGTCACAGCAGTCTTTGTTAGATACAGGTACAATGCAATAATTGTTAATTTTGTTGTGTTAATTTTGAAGGCTACAAACGCAAAGATTAGGCGAATTCGTTGCCAGATTTCACATTGTAGTCTAACCTTGTCTAAAATTTATTAGCTTAAATGAACCAGCCCTACTAATAGGGCACAAAGACAGCAAGTAAAGAACTTATTGCAAATCGGCCCTCATTTCTAATGGAAAAAAAAGTTGTGCGAATCGAGAGTGTATCAGCGAATGGTACCTTTATGTCTAATGAATAAGCAATGAATGCATATAGCTTTAAACACTGTTCAAGCCTAAACAGGCTAACTAAGCAATATATATATATAAAGCGAAGGACATGAACAAGTTAGGCAAATAGATGGACACACCCACCGATTTTCATCTTCAAGGAACTCAATCAGCTGAACGATGTTCTTGTGGCCTGAACAGTGATGGAATGTCTCCACTTCCCTGAATACACGGGCCCGGCTGTGGCCAGGACCTTTCTCAATGATCTGTAAAGGCGAATAGGGGACAGTGAAGAGCAATCAGTGAAAAGCACTCGAGAACAGCTTCAGATCAAACAATTTACAAAATCGGCAGCTGCAGCCTACAAAGCTACGACTTTCGTCGTGACAATATGCGAGACCTGCCAAAATAGAAGGCTTTCTACAGAAAACAATCCTATTCCGCGAAATAATAGGGACTGTGCACCGACACGATCAGCTTGTGGCACAATCATCCCACTCTTGCACTTTCAGCACTCTAGGCTGAAGGCAATAACAATTTTGCGAAGTCGAAGATGTTCAAAGCCAGACAGATTGCGTTGAAGACCACCATCATATCATCTCTTGAGCATATAGCTGCACAACAGCTCGGCCACAACACTACACTACCAGAGCGCACTTAAAGCTGGAAGGTATGAATGAAGCTCAATCCCTTTCTTAGTCATCGATGGCAGTTTGATTTAAATGGTACGCTTGAAGCTTCTGTAGACATCACATAACATTTCATACATCAGATGCATGGCAGCTAGTGACACCTCTTGCAGTAGGCGAGTTGGAATTAAGAAACAGTTCAATGAATTTGCCACCTGTAATGCATTTTTTAGAAGCTGAGAAATGAATAAATGTGCTTTAGGCCTTTATGCCTGAACAGGTTGTTCTAGATCACTTCTAAGTGCTTTCATATGCAGCATCCATGAGCTCTGGCAGCGCACAGTCGCAGCTAACTAGACCGCCAAGCAAATTGTGTATGTCCGTGCATCATACACCCCTTGCTGACTGAAGCTCCTGCATAGCTTGCACAGCGTTGTGCTCGATGTTTCACACATCGAGCGCTGCGCTCGATGTGTGAAACATCGTAGCAACGCTCGCAGGAAACCCGAGAAAAACATTAGGCACAAAGAGAACGCACCTTGACGGCAGTGTTCCTTGCCGGTGTAGAGGCAGATGCAAGTCTGTACCGAGGCATAGGCACCCTCAGCCGAGCACTTCCCCAGTGAGGGAGTACAGGTCGGAGAAGTTGCTCGCCGCCAGGCTCGAGCCTGTGCGCTTTTTCTTCTTGCGCCGGCGCTGCTGCTGCCGCTGCTGTTGTTGCTGCTGCTGCTCCTCAGCGCAGAGCGTCCCCTCCTCAACAGAGAGGATGCTAGGCAGATCTTCTGCATCACAGAAAAGGAAAAAAGAGACAAAACAAGAGACTAATTGCTTAGACAACGGCTGATGAACCTTACACTTAGGTCAAGCTATTCTCTAAGGAATTAATCATGGAAAAGGATAGGCAGGTCCACACAAGCATCTAGAACACAAACAGTGCAAATATGACTATCCACTGAAAAGGTTCAAATTTAGTAGAAACATATCACATCAATTAAAATAGGACAGTAGTTGGGGAAGACGGAAGCTTGAGGAGCTGAAAATTTTGTTTCGACAAGCGGTCATTTTTTCAAGGTTGCGACTGGTGCATCTTGAACAAAGAATGGATGAATCGATGGTGTGCAAGATAAAATTATGATGAAATTCTGATAGCAGCTCACTAGGTCCGTTGTAGCTGCAGATTTGAAGAAGGCAACACTGCTTGGACAACTGTTGCCTCCAGCGACACCCCATGCTCACCAGTTTTTCACCTCGCCGAACAACTTGGAAACTTATGCGGATTCATGCCGAACGGCAATCGTTTGACAATGACGATCATCGATTTTCCTGCAAAGTAATTAAATCACACTCGAAACACTTAGCCTTAGTATCCATCAGAGATCATGCATACTGAATGAGCAGTTACATGACATTTTGCAATATTAATAATAAAAAATAAATAATCTGATCTAATTTGATCTACCTTGCACATATCTACACGACTTGCACTTTGGAAGTTACCTACAGTAGCCAAGGCATTCCATGCGATAAGTCAAACAATTTCTCTTACTAAATACAACCAAGTCTGCATATAGTACTGTTTCTTGCACATTGACTGCACTACGATACCATAGCATTTTCCACAACAGTTCAATGAAAATTACAGCAAGTGGTAAAGAAAAGCCAACATACTTAAATATTCAGTTTAATGTAAATTATTGTTTGAATTTATGTTTTTTACATCATGCGTGAATTTTAGAGATTTTTTTTTCAGGAGATAATTTCGTAACTTGCAGATTTCTTAATCCAAACAATTTGAGGTCGATTGCCACGGTGACTAGCTAGTTGGCTACTCCTTCAGGATGTAACGTTCTGTTGGTTAATTTTTGTAGAAAAACACAAAATGGCTTGATCATAGACATATTAATTATCGACAAAGAAGTGCAGCTCTATCTCATTTTGTATTGCCCAGCATGGTTGGAAAGGGGGCAAAATATATATGTATTTAAAATGTAAGCAAGCGCACAATCAAATAAAACTAGGCAACAATGCCAGTTGCACGAAACTATGACGTGGTATATCACATCTGAAAAATTGTAATCTGGTAAGCTTTTTTTATTTATTCGAGGCTGCATTTCTGGTTGCACAAAGATGATATTAATGAAACTTAGCTAACAGTGATTCCTGCTACGCATGCTTGAGGAGTTTGATAAACGGTGCGGTGCAATGTTTACAAGTGACGCACTGATCGAATAGTGCACTTAACGCGGATAAAAAAAATAAAGGGGGGGGGGTGGCATTAAAAAAAATATTTCTGTAAACGCCGGTACGTCGGACGCGCGTAAACGCTAAGAAACCACACGCTACTAGTTACGGTGGCACTGCAAACGCAGTCTACAGCGAAAGCCCAGCAACGTGTCGGGTTTCGGATTCAGGTCGGCGCTCCCCAAAATAGTTTCGCATGATGCAAGACGTCGGGAAAATTTTATCAGAGCGGCGGAGGACGCACGAGATACACGCACAGCTGACAATTGCGAGGCTATTATGAACGGCGATGAAAAAAACGACACACAATCGCATATTACATCCGTGCGAGCTCGCACAACGCGTGCATTCCCGGAACAACAAAAAAAAAAAACCACGGCGGAGGCTTCCGTGCGCGCTGGCCTTCGGGCCAGTCGGTACGGTTTTTCTTACGCGAACTAAAACGCTAGGTACACAACGAGGCAACTCACTTATTTGAACCATGTTGAGTGTGAGATCAATTGTGCGTGAAGCAGTGACTAGGACGTCGAGCAAGCTCGCTGATGCGTAGGCCTCCTCGGGCGATGGAGCAGACAGGGACGGCGATGGCACGAAGTGACTAGAGGAAAGACGTCGACAGCACGGCGACTCCGTCGACGAAACCGAACGGCAACTGTGGTGGTGGTTGACGAAGACTGCGCGGGCGCCGAGACAGCGCCGATCAGTCGAGGTCGACGCGACTCCACGTAGCTGCTAGTACGGCAGCAGCACACAGTGACGGTGGTCGTGCAAGGAGCCGCAGGAGGAGAACAAGCAGTTGCCGACGACGAAGGCAAGCCGCTGCCACCGCTCCGCACCACGACGCGCCCGACGGTGCCCACACAACGCCGCTCCGCTCTACTCATTCCAAAGAACTGAGCCTCGGGAGGAGACTGCGTGCCAGCTAAATAGCCGGCTGCCGCGCCACCGTCGCCGGAAGACGACGACAACAGCAGCGAGCCAGGCAACAGTTCGAGAGCGCCGCCGCAGCGCTAGGCCTTTTTTTTTTTCTAGTCTTCCTGCTGTAACAGACGACGCACCGAAGGACGCACGGCAGCAGACGACGAGAGAAAACCACGCGACTCGGGCGCCATTTTCTAGGTGCGGAATCGCACGACCGGCACGTCCGCGCCTTCCCATTGGCTAAAGGTAGGAAAGAAAAAAATGACGTCAACAAAAATCGCGCCTTCCCTCTCCCTCGCTCATCAGCCTGTTGCGCTACGGCGGCCGTTTGGAGGGCACGCAACAAACGCGCCTTCTTCCCCGTCGGATCACGTATGCAGCTGGGAATGACTCACTCCACTGTTGTGATACGGTGCTAAAGGGGGAAGCGAAGAAAAAAAAAAGATTAAAATACAGAAGGAAAGCGCGCGCGAGCGCGTGATCATTCGCGAGGAAAAGAAAGAAAATAGAGAGGTCGAAAAAGACGTTTTCCCGTCTCGTGACTCGACTGAGAGCGCCAGTAGACGTGGCCGTTGCGTCAACTCGTTCAATTTCTTTCTTGTCGCTGCACACCGCATAATTTGCCCGAGTTGGCACACGCAAACCAACTAGCCGGAACGTCCAGGCTTTAGTGTTTTTTTTTCTTGTTTTTCGAGACCGCTAAGCCGTGACACTTACTCATAGTTTCCAGGTATCAGTGAAGGAAAGGCAAAACAAGCGCAGTTATAGTGACGGCATCGATACAGAAAGAACACGAAAAAAAGATAGTGGCTCTCTCCGAGATGGGCGACTTCGAGTATTGCCGTTTGCAATGTACAAAGGCGAACCGCCGTTTCGAAGCTTACGTTGCAATTGGCACCTTTCTGGAAAACGTACGTAAGTAGTACTTGCCACTCGCAGGTTTTTTGCTCGGTGATCTGGCTCTAATAAATTTGCACGAGCGGCCGCACACACAGAGGCGATCGAAAAAGCAAAAGCGGTGCTTTTTCAAAAAACTCAACGCTTGACTAATAGTCTCGCACGACTCAATTATGCATAAACCCCGCAGCTTTGTACGAAAAAAGCACGTGCAATAAATACGCAGAGAACGCATCGAAAAGCAGAATTGAGAACCCCCGTAATAGAGATCGAAATTGCCAGGACTTTGTCGTAAAATTGTGCTCCACAGATCTTCATTTTGTGCTTTATCACTGCCATTAAACTTGTAATTCTAAATAAAGTAAATCGCGACTACGCGTTGTTTTTGAAATGCAAGATGTTTCGGGTGCAGAGCAACTCCACACAACTCTTTGCCTACTATTCGACGCAGAAATTTGGGCTCGCTAGTGGCCACTGACCTTCTTATAAATATGAAACGCAAAGCAACTAGCGGGCCCTGCCCTCATCGCCCTTCCCTTTAAAATAAAAGGAGAAAAAAGAAAGTGCCACTCCAGGGATCAGATAGCAGATATACCGTATATTAACAACTGTCACATGAAAAGCGGAGACACGCTCCCAAGTGAAGGTCGCAAGATAGAATCGCGCCACCCTTTCAAAAGAGGCGAAAATGCCCATGGGCTTATCTTTAGGTGCACGGTAAAGAACCCCAGGTGGCGCCAAATTTCCGAAGCCTTCCACTATGCGGCCTCCCCCGTCATATCGTGGTTCTGGGTATACGTTAAGCACCACTTATTATTATTATTACTCCCAAGTGTCCGGCTGCCTTATCCCGTCGAAGAAACGCTGGTCGAAAGGTGCTGGGCACTGCTGGCCAGTAACAACTGTTTACTTTTTTCCGGACTAGCGCGCTCGGCGGGCGGTCCGCAGCCGTATCTTATCGAGCGGGATTAAAAAACAGTCGGTGGCGCGCCCCTTTATCGCGCGGCGGTGGACTCGACTATCGCCCCGTAGAAAAAGCGCCCGATCTTTCGAGCAACGGAAGAGTTTCGACTTCACGTGACCTTATTAACACACACACACGCGAGATAAGCGAAAGCGGCGTTTGCAGGTGATAGTGATAACGAAGGCGGGCTTTGTTTGCTACAATGTCCGGACTCCTTCAACTGCATGCGTGTGCAGAACGGTGCATCGTTTCAGAGGAATTGTATATTGAAACTGTTGCAGGAGCTCAAATGTTTGCTCACTCTATCAGCTGGAAGAGGCAGGCACCGCACCCCCCTCCCCCCCGCCCCGTTAGGTGGGCTGACTATATAGGCAGGTATGGACGAAACTTCGTTGACGACGCTTTGTCTCGTCTCGATTCCATTCGGCCAACCGGAACACTCGAAGGCTTTGTCTTACTCCAAAGGTACTTCAATACTCCGTCAAAAAGTACTCAGATCATATAGCGGGCACTGTATACAATAATACAAGCTATAGCTTGAAGCAGAGGCTTCCGCAGGGTTTACCAATGCGGACGAGGAACGCGGGGAAGAATTTTACTTTTAAAAAAAGCAAGCTTCCCAAAGGATGCAAAGTAAATAGGAAGCAATGTAGCGCTGCTGATAAAAGCCAGGTTTCGGTCCCCTCGGCTTTCCGACGCGGGGAGTACACCAGGAGTAGAGTGACTGCAGCATATACAGTTTTTCTAACCGCTCGCTTG